AGCTAACTAGCTCCAATCACCTGTCTCTATTCCTAATACCAAGTCTATAACTTGCCATAGTCTCTTGAACAAAAATTGGCGAAATTTATCTATCTCAAGTTAAAGAAAGTGAATGACAGATTATCAAAACAGTAAAGAAATCATACGAATTATGCCAAAGAATCCAAGGCACAAGGTTAGAAGGAAGCTAACTTTTGGCGAGCTTTGATGTACAGTCCATGTACATTAACATCACAGGAGAAAAAGCTCTCACCGCACTACTGGAGATCTTGGGAAAAGAAAATGAGATCCTAGAGACAGAGCGAATGCGTGGATTTTTCATAACCCGAACAATCAACCCAACAATAGAAACGACCTATTTCACGTTCAACGGCCACATCTATGAGCAAATATTTGGTCTTTCCATGGGCTCACCATTTTCATATTTGTTGGCTAATCTCTTCATGGACAAATTTGATGCGAATTTCAAAATGTCACCCTAGCAGCCAACAGTAATTTTACGATATTTGGATGACTACTTGGCAATTAGGTCGTATTTAAGAGAAAAATTAGACGATTTCACGATCATTATAAACGAAGTGGTTGAAAAAAAATCTAATTTGTCATGCATGTTGAAGAGAACGGACTCCTACCGTTCTTGAATGTAGTGGTCATTCGCTCCGAGGAAACTCTCAAAAATAAACTTTTCCGAAAGAAATCGCATGCTGGAATCACTCTTAACTTCCAGTCGTACTATACTCATGGGATAATGATCGGATTACTCCGGAGTATATTCATAAGAAGCTTACGACTGGCTTATTCTGAGCTCTGAGAAGAGGAATTGGGAAAACTAATTCAGATGTCTCTTGGAAACGGATTTCCAGAAGGATGGTGATGCACAAATGAAAGGACGGAGATTATGAAAGGTAAGAGGGACAGAGGAAAACGGATGGGTATATCCACCCTCCTGGGAATTGGTTCGGAAGCTACGGCCAATACTAGGAAAATGGAACATTCGTACAATCCTGAATGAAAGGACAACCCTGTTCACCAGCTTACCCACGCAATATGAACAAGTCAACAAAATGGTGTGCCCCGGAGTTTACAGGATAAACTGCAAGGGCTGTGAACAGAAATACATTGGAGAGACGGGAAAGACAATCAGCACGAGGATCAAAGAACACCAGCGACTATGCAGAAAAATGGATACGGAAAGATCGGGGATATCTGAACGCATCGTCACTACCGGCCGCACAAATGACTGGTGTACAACCGAAATACTGGCCTCATATTGGAGGAAACGCCAGAAGACGGAGGATCAGTGAGGCTGGGGACATCCTCTTTAGAATAAACCTGATGAACAGGACATTAGAAGAGGGAAGAGTCAGCGATAATTTCGCGTATTGCCGAGGTAGACTTGGCGATTCAACGAATACATCAAAAAGAAGACGTTCGGACCCAGGACAACTGTTCAACAACAGGAAGAGACATCGCCAAGGAGCGGCTCATGAGGGACAAAGAGAAGTCAAGAAAATGCGATTGCAGTGAAAGCAGTCAGACGTGGAATTGGTGAACCCACCTGTGAGCTGTAGGATATGAAATAAAAGGCTAAATGTATAGATGGGCCCGATATAGGTCACCAGTGTGTGCGTGTGTGTGTATTTTTCGTATTTGTGTCTGAAGGAGAGGTGACTTGTGACATGCTTGACCACAGCGGATACCAGCCAACACACACACACACAGAGGAACATCTCAGTGCCATAGGATTAGATGGGTGCTTTTTGCGATTCAATGGATAAAGAGGTAGTGGTACCTTCTCACGCCAGCGGTTATGACTTAAACCGGACACATTGCCTCAAAGAATGAAACAAAATATGGGTGGGGACGAGGGAGAGGATAATCGAGTCATGGGTTTGAAGCCTATGGAGAGGGAGATTCCCATGCACTGGCTGGACATTGGCATCATCTGCTATACATCCTCGAACATTGCGTAATCAAGTACGGGAATTGAAGGCTCTTTGGCAGCCAGATTTCATACAGCCAAACAGTGATTTTGATAGAAGTTGTTTGACCTTGTTTTCGCAACTAAGTCATATTGGTAGGAATACGTAGAGGAACGCAACTAGTCTGGAGTCTATTGTATGCATGATCATTTGCAGAGTCGGATCGTGGACGTGGTACATTCACAGACGTTTTGCCGGCATCGTTGCCGACATCGTCAGTGAGTTTTGTAACTCGTCAAAGAGACAATTGAAGCCGACCCTTTGACCAATTGTCTGTGGTATCTATCCTTTCGCCATGGGCTAATCAACAATCATATAGCC